GAGCGAGCGACACATTTTCCCACAACTCACGATAACTCGTGTTGCGCATGCGCAATTCACGAGTTAAAAAAAACGGCACTTTTATCGACTATAACAGATAAACCATTCTGGCCAGAAAGTACGGCCTTTTGGTAACCAACAAAACCAGGTGGAAAATCTCGTACAGACTGGACTAGGATTGCGTTACACCACGTTGAACGCAACTAATGTAACTAGAACGCGTCACACCTCTTAATTTTTAGCCACGACTCAGTATAAAGGAGGTGTGTCTCCTCTATGTCTGCCCTATGTCTCCTTTATGTCCTCCTCTATGTCGTTGTCCCCGGAGATGTTTAAAATCGTGGTATGTGGACTATAGATGTTAGATTGCATGTCATAGAATGAAAGGGAAACCCAAACTATGAAAATAAATTGAAAACAAGTTGAAAAATACATGTTGCGAGTTGTAGCAAGGCAAATGGCCATGATTTGTTGTCAGAACTAACTTGCCCCCGAATTGTGTAGCTTACCAAAAAGCCGTGGTTTGTGGTCAAAATGGTTTATTTGTTCCACGGTCAACATTCTTCAATTGTGAAAACAAGACGTAAATTCGCGCAATTTAACCCATTGATTCCTGGAGCTGTTTTTGGCAAAACGCATTTTTTGGACATTTTGGAGATTTTCAGGCTGGATATGGGCCAAATTAGCTCCAATCTACTCAAAAAGGTATCTGTAACATGACAGCATGCCTTTCTTTCCCCTACCATCGCGTTTTACGACATTTTCGCTCAGGCATGCGCAGAAATCAAAATTTTGAGATGACCTACGTCTTTAGGCTTTTCGATTTTTTTATTTAATTTTTTTTTTCGTCTTTCCTTGTTCTCCTTTTCTTTTCTTTTTGCTGCAGTGATTGGCCTTCTACTGGGCTTGCTTCCAGTTTAAAACATTCTGAGAAAGCATCATCGAGACAGGCAATTTTTGCCATGGAATAGCCTGTGTAGCAAGCGTTTCTGTGGGGTTCGTGAGCAAAGAATTACAGCGCGAAAAATGGAGCGGGTAAAAGGGGGAGGAGGGGGGGAGAGGGAGGGGAAGGAAGGAAGGTAACGCTTGCAGACAAACCCCTGGATTTTGAAAACCGCCCACTTGGCCTTTCATGCCTGAGTGCGCACACTGAGATTTCGTGCTGTCATCGGCTGTCATAAATTAACCAATAAAATCTTCGGCCTTCCGTAGCGGAAGTGAACTTTGAACCAAAATAAACTTTAACTTGTCAAAATATGCACGGTGGGAACGGAGAAATCTCGATGAATTAAATTTGGTAATTTATGATCAAACTATATTTCTACTCAATCCGTCTAAAAGGAAGGACTGTAAGGGTGAAGTTTTAGCACAAATCTGCCAGAAAGTTATAATGTGAGAAGCATTCAAGTCACGTTTGTAATCCTTGTGCTTGCAAGATTCGAAATCTTGGATCACTGCTACAGGTGATAACACTCGAACCGATTTGCGGATCTGGCGTTTCCAGCAAACGCTTCTTTGTGGGAGTTGACTTGCTAATTAAATCTTGTCTCGATTCCTGGACGAATGCTTCCAACCCCACGGAAACGCTTGCTACGCAGGCTATTTTTCACTCAACTTTTTGAGCTTTTTTGTGGATATCTCAGGCTCCATTGGGCCGATCACTCTGATCTGGGTATCATTGGAAAGATCTTTTCCTCCTGCAGAAGTTGAGCATAGATGATGCCAATTTTGGTCAAGGGTGATGACATCAGAAGTGGAAGAAAGGCCAAGGTTCGTCACAGCCGGTTACGCCTGCCACAGGAGTCAGTGGCTTAAACAAATACAAACGCAAGGTAAAATTTTTTGGCGACGCGCTGTCTGGTGGGTCGGCTGGCCGAAACTTTATTTTCTCAACAAATATTTATCATGTTCTTGCGTTCTGAAATTGAACGTTCAGTTTCGGAAACAAATCTTAAAGAAATGCTTCTCCTGGAAGTTCATAGTTCCTTACAAAGTTTATAGTTTGACAAGTTTAATCCAACCTCACGAAAATCGAATTGTGAACGTACAGGCATTCAACTTTGATTACCACACAAGTAAATAGCCTGAGTTTGGTCACTGGTCAGGTCATTATTTGATGCAATGACCTCACAATGACTTCTTAATGACGTCATGATAACATCACTGACATTTTTTGACGTAATCTCAGCCGTGGTGACTTGTGGTCGTTCGTGGTGACTCGTGGTGACTCGTGGTCACCCGTGGTCACTCGTTGTCATTCGTGGTCATTCGTGGTCATTCGTGGTCATTCGTAAGTACTTTTAGACCCTATCATGACTCCCTTGTGAAAAACAAAAGTGTCAAGTCACTCATAAGTACTTTTAGACCCTATCAGTAAATTTAATCAGAGCTGACGAATCGTCAGTCACCACTCGTTCCCGTCAAATGTTTGAACAAACAAAACAAGATATTGCTATTTTTAGTTACAAGTGGTAACTTCACACTTCTGTTTTTTACATGGGAGTAAATTCAATTAGAGCTGACAACTTTTCGCCCCCTGTTTCCAGGATATTAAACAAAAAAGAAGTTTTAACATCTTTGGTCAGTTTTTGTGTCTGCAGCAGCAGTTTAATATTTCTAATTCATGGGCATTTCATGACATTCGTTTCAGTCCGAGATCTTTTTTAAAAGTTAAAAAAGTATGACAACTGTTCAAATGGTCTTTGAAGACTGCGTGTCACCAAATCGGATTTAATCAGACTTAAAAGTGCCAGAGAGGTTATTTCTCTTTCTTGCCATTTTTGGTAAAGTAGTGTTGTTGCGTACTGTAAAAGGTAAACTTTTTACCCGTATAAAATAAGGAAAGTTCTCTTAACTTAAGTATTTCTATGCACAAATTCCTCTTTGGGGCTTTGAGTCATGCCTGTGCACGTGTCACCCCAATCACAGTGTGGATTGTATCAAATAACGAATCAAATTGCCTGTTAGAAAATAGGATGGTATCTACATTAACCTGGAGATGTATCAAATTACTGTAGTTTGTTCGGTTAAACATTTTACATTGTTATATCGAGGGAGAATTACATATGAAAAGTATTTTGTGTGACGCTCAGCTGTCTACAACGCACACGTTGTCAGCAAAATGCCGAACACTAAATTGTGATTCGAGCGTTTGTTTTGGACCGACTGATTTTGCTGACCGAAGTGAAAATTGTAGACAGTACTTTCCTGTCTTATCATGAAGTTACTTCTGTGGTTATTACAAACTGTTGCAGAAACGGTAAGAAACCTCGTCATGGCCTTCGTATACTTTATCTCGAAGTTGGTTGGGAATATTTCGTATGGTAGGTGTGGTGTCATACAAGATGTTTGCCATTGTAGTCGCATGTAAGAAAGAGGGTGGCTGAGAAACAATTGTAGATCAGTGAGACGTGGATGATGGTAAAGCTGCAGATGCTGTTGTTCAAACTGAGTATGCGTGTGAAGAGTTATCAACAAAGATTCGAAGCGTTAGTTTGTTGGAATTTAAAGAAAGAGCAGTCTTTCCTAAATGCGAAACAAGTGAAGGATTGTGCGCAAAAGCTAGGGATTTCAAGCTCATGTATTCGATCGATTACAATAATTATTTAGAGGGAACAAGATGCGTTGCAAATGAGATAAAAGGTGTAAGATCGAGATATCGTTTTTCCGTGTGTAGTGGATGATGCAAAGGGATGACTGAAAGACGTAAGCTTAAATGTCGAGAACCTTCAAGAACTGGCAACAGAATAAGACCATACTATTGCGTGTAAGAAATAATAGGCACATCTTAAAGAACAGAAATTATAGGTAAAGATGAAGCCCTGTACAAGAAAAAACAGGGGAACAAAATAAAAACAGAAAATAGAGTCATGCCACAAATGAGTTGTTATGTCATCAGCCTGTAGTGAATAAACAGTCTTCTTTTATCGCATGTTTAATACCATATCATTGCAGAAAACATTTTTATTTGTAATACTTTACAAAATACTTGATGTGGAAAAACCACTAAGCAATCTTTAGTCAAAAGGTACTTTCTGGTTTATTAATCAGCTATTATAACTCACTGTATTCAACAGTTCAATTACATCTACTTTTACCTTGCAGCATATACCGATTTTTTTCTTTTATTCACATGGCAACAACTACTGACGAGTTGTTACTCTATTATTAAAAAATATGGTCAAGTACAAATTAAGAATTCCAGTTATGGCAGGTTAGGTCATCACCAAATTTTAGAAGACTAGCTGTCCATACAGGAATTTAAAGGGCCTGTTCCACTGCACACACGGGAAAGTTTTCAAAGTTGGCTTCAGTTAGGAAAATCCTTTTCCAGCAGTCTTGTGAGAACTGTGAAAGTATGAGCATTCAAGAAATTTTGTTGTCAAAATTTTATGGAAGATTTTGCATTGAGTTGGGGGATTGAAGTGAATAGACCCTTTTCACGATCCAGTCGCATGGTACGGAATTAATTATGCTGGGACGCAAGTTACGCAGTGGGACTTCCAAAACAAAGGAACTCGTACCAGTCCAGCCCGACTTTCCTTTGTTTTGGAAGTCCAACTGCGTAACTTGCATCCCAGCGTAATTAATTCCGTACCATGTGTCCGGATCCTGTAAAGGGCCTATTGTGATGTTCCACACAAATGGTCACGTGGCACGTGATAGAGAGTTGTGTCTTTTCTATTGGTTACAAAACCTTCCAGTGAATCTTTCAGTTCACTCAAAGTTGTACATGTGCATTACTGTGGCGCAGACCCTTTTATTCACTTTGTGACACTATTTGTACATACAACTTACACCCTGCATAGCTGGTATAGTTAGATAAAGTATGGCACAGCACTTTGGAGGGGGCGGGGGAGAGAGAGGGAAGGCAAGGATTGTACTGAGAACATCTGTTGTGTAACATAGTATCTACCTCAAGGCTAACAGATTACTGGTTTCATTAAATCAATGAAGAATTCTTACTTCTGGTTGGTTCTCACATGCTAACAATGTCCAGTGATTTCCACTGCTATATAATTGAATTTCTGGATCCTGCTTTGTCCCTAAAAAACCTAGAGGGCATCACTGTGTTTTCAGGAAAGCTTCCTCATCTTGATTTCGTCAGTGATTAGATTGAGTGGTGATAACCAGTACTTTGTGTCACACAAATTGGGGCAGATCACGCTTATTTTCAAATCGCTCACTCATTTTGTGCCTTGCCGATTTTAAAATTGCTCAACTATTACTTCATGCACTGTTCTCTACTCTGTTCCACTCCACTTAATTACCATTATCAGTCAGCCATTTTCGATATATTAAAATTCTAACATGCTTTTGAAGCTCAGAGGACTACAAGCATTGTTTATTCATATCTAAACCTTAATGTGATTTCTTTTGTTTAGACCTGTAAGCCTCAGAGCCAAGTTAGAATTTCAATATTGCAAAATTGGCCCATGAGAGTGCTTACTGCGAAATTGATCATATACAAATTGAAAGCCATCATATTACATGCACATTTTTAACGGCACAAATGTCTGTAAAACTACAACTACTACATTCTAAACACAAAGGAACTGCACCATATTACATTATATATTCCTCATCGTTACTCTTGTGCAAAGCCTTCTGTTTCTTCAATTGCAAAAGTTAACTTTTCAACTAACTGTTCAAAGCTTTTATATGGTGGAAGATCAAGACGATTAAAACTGAAAGAAAAAGCAAACAATATATCACCTGTTTGTTGGAAGCTTGCTAATGCTGGACAAAATATCTACTCCAGTAATGAATTAAGACACTTTTAACTTGCCATGGCAGTCAAAAGTTATTACACAAAAAGGTGTACCATAATGTAAAGTCTGACTAACTGGGTATTATCATCTATGTCCACTACAAAGTTAGACGACTCGACTCACTTTGGGTGTATTGGACAACCCTCGGTATTATTGACCCTTGTAAATTGGTAGAAATAGTCTATTTTCCTGACAACTACAAAAGTCTAACTGGTGGGAATGTAAAAAGACGAAAGGAAAATCAAATTTTCCCAAAAATGGCAGCCTGGTTGTCTGTTGTTTAATAAAGCTTGTCAGAAGTCTTGTCTCAAAAGAGTAAGTTTCCAACCAAGGGAGTAGGAGGGCTGTCGAATTTTCTACATACCAAGTATGACTTCGTGGAAGCCATGTTTCCTTGCCAACCTTCTCAATGCAAAACTTTTGAGGTCCATTGCTCCCTATAACAAATATAATCAAACATGAGATCATTTTACACAGCTTTTACATGCCGATACTAAAACAGGTTAGCCGAGTACAAGGAAACCTGAATCCGCTACAAACCTTGTCCATTTGCGCATCTTCTAGTTCAGTATAAGCTGTTCATCAGTGCTCTCTTTCATTTATGTAAGACCAATAGAATGAAGCCAAATGTGTAAGGCTAAAAGTATCTAACAGTATTAAATTTCTGTGTAAGCATATATTAGCTGATTTAAGTTGTTTTGGGTTGTCAGAGATCTGAAAGTGTTCGAAACTTAAAATTCTTTCACAAAACTTTAATGATACAAACCCATGAGTTCAGCAAATCCTCCTACAGGAAGACGACATGTGCCTGTTACAAACTGTAACAATCGAGTTCTCTTCTCATTGTCAAATGAACGTACAGCCTGAAAGAAACCACATCTTCAATTTACCACGCTCAAATAACTTATTTATCTTAACAAACTGTGGATAACTGTCAATTACAATAGTCCTTGACACTCAGAAGCTAGAGAACAGGATCTATATTAACCCTCACTAAATGTCACTGATGCACAGTAGCATTGTAATCTCTGATTGTATCCTATTGTAATTTGTTGCTCTGCTCTCTATGGATGTGATACTAGTCCAAAGCCACTCCCAGCAACATTTTGCTAAGCCGCTCTTACAGTTTGCCTGCAGTGTCCATTTATTCTCCTTGGTGGAGAGAGACACAGAAAGAGCAAAGTATCTTTCTCAATAACACAACACAATGCCCACAGACGGGGCTTAAATCGACATGAAGCTACCTTGCCTGTCATCTATCATAAGCTGATTCACTTCCAATGACCAGCTAGGGTATCTTCGTCGCATTCCAAAAACATCAAATTTTGTCTTAAAATACTCTACTGTGCATGGTATTTTCAACTCTCTTCTTGGTATTTACAAATGTAATGAAAAGCTGTCTTCGTGTTGGGGAAAAGGAAAAGTAATTATAGGCCGAAACTGTTGACATTAATAGTAAACTTGAATGGGAAGCTACTGCTGGATTGAACTGCAATGGAAGAAATCCTTTGCTTCAAAACATTAATACAGCAATTGATTTAATCCTGTAACAACTTCCTTGTCAACCTTCCACACCAAGATAGACTTGAGACATCCAATAAATAAACCTTGCTATAAAATTTTAATCAAATTCTTCCCCTTTTGAACATGAATGCAGAAAATACCCAACCTATGGTTCTATGGATACCTGGTCATTACACAAACCTGCCAGAACCATGTGACTTGTTTGCTGTTCCTAGTGTAGTGACGATATACAGAGTTAGTCTGCCAGTCATCAACATCAATTTCTTGCATTCCACAAAGCATCAGCTAAACAAACAAACAAACAGATCATTCATCAATGTATCACTACATCATGAGCATTTTGTTATGTTTTGCCAACTACTAGTCAATGCAGGACACTAAATGGGAGCTTAACAACCTAGCTAAGAGAAACAGTTTTAAAATTTCTTGCAGTAGGAGAGGACTTGGGAAAATGAGCAGCAGATCTGTGAATGGAATGGGGACAAGGGTGGCTTGTCTCATTCCATTATGATACCAACACCTGAGAAAAATGCCAGCCTAACAGTTGATCGCTATGGTATACATCCAGTTTCGACAGATAACACATTTTTTCACAATAATGTCAATTATTTTCTAAGTATTACACCAGGTACTGTCCCGAATGATCAATCAGAATTGTGTACTAGAAGCTCACAATGTCTGCTCTATCAGTCCACATTGTGGGATTTTTTTTCTAACGTAATCAATCTCTTATCACCAAGCTTGCTTGGGACCGTACTGAGAGATTGTTGCCCAGACCTTACAGATCTGTAAAGATCTTGAGTCAGTATTCTCCCAGTACAGCCCTCGTGCAGAATACACCTACAATAACAAACTGTTTACAACTCGACTATATTTTGATTACATAGGCAATGGGCAATCTTTGAAAATTTCAGGTGATGTCAGTGTTGGAAGCTGAATTTTGACAGCACTTGTCATTCACATGAGTGACTCTTAAAATCCACTCGCACAGTGTAATTTTTACTCGCCCAGAAAGATGCTTCCTCTCCCAACACAAAAACTCTGCAGAGTCACAAACCATACATTTTTTCGGTATCTCGTAATCATGGAGGCCCAGTTTGAGCTATCTTGTTCTGGTCCATTTACGAGACGTCTGCTTAAGATCACGGACCAATTTTACTATTTTATCCTCATATTTATAATCGACTTTGACATGCCTCGGAAATTTTTCCACATTTCTGCAAGAACAGCTAAATGAACAGCTGGCAATACCAAATTTGCATATAACCATGTCTCCCTAGAATAGAGAAATTGGAGTAAAACAACTTGTCAGCACGTGGAATACTGACGTGTTTTCT